TTGTTTTTTTTTTTTTTTAAATTCTTTTCACTTCTTCCGTCGGGGTGACGTTGGTGTATATAATCAAATTAATAATCTGTCTCTCTCTCTCGCTCTTTCTCTCTCTCTCTCTCTCTCTGTCTTTTACTTTCTCTCGAGTTACAAATCGGACGAACGAGAGAGAAAGAAAGAGAGAGAGAGAGAGAGAGAGAGAGAGAGAGAGAGAGAGAGAGAAAAGAAGAGAGGAGAGCTCTGTCCTCACGAAAGGACGGCAGCTGGATTAAATTTCTCAGTTTTTGTTCACGAATGAAAAAGATCGAAAAGATTTCAAACTGTGTAGAGCCCTGCACGATTATATCCATCGACCGAGAGAGAAAAGAGTCCGATCCACGTCGTTGCTCTTTCTTTCTCTCTCTCTCTCTCTCTTTCTCTCTCTTTCTCTTTCTCTTTCTCTCTCTGTGTCCCTTCGAAAGAGTTTCTTTCTACGTCGAAAAGAACCTGGATTGACTTGTGCTTCCCCTCCTTGTCGTTTATCTTGCGACCCTCGTAAAGCTGTCTCCTATGGGCTTAAGGGAAGAGTCTCTAGCCTGTTTCTCTCTCTCTCTCTCTCTCTCTCTCTCTCTCTCTCTCTCTCTCTCTCTCTCTCTCTCAATATCTCTTTTTCCTGGTCTTTTATCTTTTCCATCACCGAAAATCTTTTTGTCATTCTTATCTATACCTACTTCCTTTTAACGTGTTCCTCGATCCTAATCTTTTTTAGTCGAAGAAGAGAGGTATCTTCCCTCTTTCTCTTACGAATACGTGAATTTATGCGATCGAAATAATTAGATTTCCTATCGTTATCGTAAACGTTGGAATATCAAAAACGTTTTTAATTTACAAAGAACTACATAAATGATTTATACATACATACATATATACATTCATACATACATACATATATATACATAGATGTATATATTAATAACACTTTCTCAACATCGTCCTCTTCCATTCGTTTTTTCTATTTTTATTCGAGCACGATGGACTCCTTCAGCTGATGCTCTTGCGAACAAATTATTAAGAATTTAGGTGGAAGCGTGGGGTGAGAGAAAAAAAAAGAAATACAAAAACGTTATTACACGGCAATGTGGGTGGATGGGTGGGTGTGTCTATAAACACAAGCATATAACAATCGAAAAAGGTTTCCCTTCTTTTCTTTTCTTTTTTTTCTTTTTTAGCAATCCTTTTATAATACACACAAAATTCTTATCCGCCGTTCTTCCTTCAATTTCTTTGTCCTTTTTTTTTTTTTTTTTGTAGACTAAGGCTTAAACAATGTTCATGAAAAACACACACACACACACACATATAAAACACGTTTACACAATATGATATTTTCCCTCTTTGTCTCAATTTATCTTCTTCTCCCTTTTGTACTAGCATATCTACCGTTATAGATATTTTTATCTTATTCTTCGTCCTTCAAGAAACCATCTCGACTTCATCTCCTTTTCTTTCATTTCCATCGCAATTGTAAAGCCCGACTTAGTCCCTTCTATCTCTTTCATTCTCCCTTCCTTCCTCCCTACCTCCCTCCCTATCTTCCCCTCTTTCTCTCTCTCTCTCTCTCTCTCTCTCTCTCTCTCTCTCTTTCTATCTCTTTCTACGGTACGACTCATAAAATAGTTAGAACCCCTTTTCTCTTTTACCCTCCTGTACCTTCCATCTTCATTCACCTGCAATCACCTGCACGCACTGAATGATGAAACTCGATTCTCCTCTCTTTCCCTTACCTCTCTCCCCTTCTTCTATCTCCTCCCTTAACCTCGTCTCTATTCATTCTTTTCACCTTCTATTATTACAAAACTACATACAATTACACCGTGTATTTAGAAAGTTGAACGTTTCTCTTTAGGTTGATTAGGAAAGGTGTTAATAAGGTATTCTAGTTTAGAAATAGATACAGAAAGAGAGAGGGAGAGAGATTGGGGAGGGGGAAGAGAAATAATAAAATAGAAAAAACAGAGAAATTCAAACATTTTATGATTTTCATTATCACGATCAAGAGAGCCATCATGCGACACGAATTGTTCGATAGAGAGTATCAATTTTCGAAGATTCGTGTTACCTCTATCGTATTCCATCGACGATAATAGCAACACGATGGACTAGGAGAGGATAAAGAGTGGTTAAAAAAAAAAAAAGAGAAAAAAAAAGAAAAGAGAGAGAAAGAGAGAGAAAAGAATAAAAAAAGGAGGCCAGGAAAAGAGCAAAAGCGAAATGCCATACGACGGACACTCTCGTTCGATCGCAGTTCATATTTTCTCTCTCTCTCTCTCTCTCTCTTACACACACACACACACACACACACACTTTTTCTCTTTCTCTCTTTTTCTCTTTCTCTCTTTTTCTCTTTCTCTCTTTTTCTCTTTATAAAAGGATCGAGTTGCTGTCCCTGATGTCGATAGGTCGATGCGTGTTATGCGATATCGACAGGGATCTCTCGAAATGCGCTTCTCGCGAAGTAATAACGCGTCGGGTGTGCCGGAAAAACATGGAACGAATCTCAATCAAAACTTTCTCTCTCTTTCTCTTTCTATCTTTTTCTTCCTTTCTCTTTCTCTCTCTCTCCCCTCTCTCTCTCTCTCTCTCTCTCTCTCTCTCTCTCTCTCTCTCTCTCTCTCTCTCTCTCTCATTCAATATATGTATATATATAAAGTCTGGAAGATGGAACATCGCTTGCTCATTCGACTAAAGAACAACGAGGACATATACAATTTTTTTCTCTTTTTTTTTTTTTTTTCTTTTTTTTATTTTTGTTTTTCTAGTAGCTATTAGTCTATTCGATGTTGAATAAGAAGAAGAAGAAGAAGAAGAAGTAGTTCTTCGTATGTTGGTCGGAGATAACTGTAATAAATTTCTTCATGGTTTTTACATTTCATTGGCATTATATTCGCTTTAACTTCCATGATTGTTAAATATTTCTTTTTATAGAACATTACGTGAGAGTGACATGGATTTTCTTATGCACGGTAATAGGATTTTTCAAAGCATTATTCGCATATCTTGACTCGAGAAAATCCAACGTATTATGCCATTCCACGTTTGCTCTTCCATTAACGAATGAGTTTTCATCGTTGAATGAAAATTACAAATATGTTACCATTGCTAAATATAAAAGTTCATGAAAAGAGATTCTTAGGAAACTTCAAATATAAAATAATGTCAGAGACCGAATTAAATCATTCATTATTATATATCGTTTAATTTCTCGCGTATCACAGATTCACTTTGTATTAAGTCAAATATTATGAGACATTTCACGTTAATAATAGAACCACAATTATAGGATATTTTTAGTATGATTTTATTTGTGAATTTTGACAAATCAATTATTTCTTAATAATGATGAAAACCTATTTTTATGAGAGTCGCTCTTACATTTGTCAGACATGCTAATGTTATTCTAACAACATCAACATCTTCGTAACACGTAATACATCGTGTCGGATTCTATTTATTCTCAGTCAGTTGCAAACATCTCACCTCTCTCTCTCTCTCTCTCTCTCTCACTCTCTCTCTCTTTCTCTCTCTGTTTCTCTCCTATCTTCTACATTCATCCTTCTTCATCTCTCTCACTCGCACGCTCGCAAACTCAGCGGTTAAACGTTCACGTACATTTTGCTATCTATCTCTCAGATATATATATATATATATCTGTCTATCTTTCTCTCTCTCTCTGTCTCTCTGTCTGTCCTGTCTGTCTCTTTGTGTGTATATGTGTATAACTCACTCATTTGAGTCCCGTCATAGTAACGTCATGCGGCGCGAACAGCGAAATAGTTTCGTGCCGTAATAACGATGCGATTACGTCGGCTGGTTCGCGTGTATTGTATGTACATTATGAAAGATAATGCAGGCCGCTTCTGTAATTATGGAAGCCAAGCATAAATTTTGCGATTTGCATTTCAAACTGCCATTGTAATTCCGCGGTGAGACTATGGCTGCTTTCCCCCCCCCCTCCCCTCCCTTCTCTCTATTCCCTTATCCTCTCTTTCCCCTTTCCATCCCTTCTCACTTCTCTCCACGTCAACGCCATAACGGATTCTCTCCCTTGTCTCTCCCCGATCTCCCTTAAACCACTACCTTATCATATTATAGCTAAGAGACACGTTCGATATACTTTCTTCCTACAGTTTCTACACACTACAGTTTCTTCCTTTGCCCTTTTCCTTTCGTGATATTTTTTAACCTTCGAACTTTACTTTTCGCAAAGCTTATATATAAACTCTCTCTCTCTTTCTCTCTCATATATATATATATATGTATATATATCTTTCATTTTTAATAAAACTCGTGTATTCACGAACGATAAACATCGTTCGTTAATGAAGAATATTGGTTATCTCTATTAGTAGCCGTGAATTTTCCCAGGATTACTAAATAAATCACGCATGCATATACACACGAAGAACATATATATGAGAAAGGTAAATAAATAGAAAGAGAAAAAGAAAGAGATAATTCCTTTGATTTTGTCGAATTACGCGTGCACACGGAATCCGCGTGCAATCACGTACCCATTGCAAGTCTCTTTCCGTTCGCTAGAAAGGAGAAAAGACAGCAGCGTTAACGTTAATTGGTGAGAGATATCCTCTAATTGCTTTTAAAGCCATGGCTCGAACTCACGAGCGTTTGTTCATCGTTCTCTCGATCCTATTACACATAGTCTCTGTGTATAAACTCCCATCCCTCCAGCTTTTCCTCCACCTCCTTCCCCTTCTCCACCTTCTCTTACCCCATCATCTCTCTTTCTCTCTCTCTCTCTCTCTGTCTCTCTCTCTCTCTCTCTCTCTCTCTCTCTCTCTGTCTCTCTCTTCCCCTACTTCTCCCACTCTTGATCGACGATCTACGAACCGCAGAAAGCCCCTAAACAAAACCACTTAAACCTCTGAACAAAGCGACATCTATTACAGTCATGGTACCATAAAGTTTAATCGTAGCTCACATCGATACGCCAACTTCTGTTTGTGTTTCAGGACATGTCCGACGTTTGCGTTGGGACCAGCGTGGGGACCATTACCGAACCTGAATGTTTGGGACCCTGTGAGCCTGGCACATCGGTCACGCTCGAGGGTATCGTTTGGCATGAGACCGAAGGAGGTGAGGACCTATCACAGCTTGATAGATCTTTTTTCTTTTTCTGTTTTTTTTTTCTTTTCTTTTCTTTTTATCTTTTTATCTCCTTCAATGCTATTATTAAAAAATATTCGAACATTCTATTAAAAAAAATTCATTGACTTTTTATCCAATTTCGAGGTTCTAATTTTGATTATACAATGGATGACGATATTTTATCTGTTTATAAAAATAGCCCATCAAACGATACTAGTTATTGATCCTCCGAGATCTATGATATATTCTTTTTTCTTTTTTTTTTTTTTTTCTTTTTTTTCCGTTTCTTTTGTTCCTTTTCTTTTTTCTTTCTTTTTCTCTCTTAGAAATTTTTAAGAAAATAATATATTAGCTCTTGGACAAGTATTAAAAGAAACTAAAATGGACAAAATTAAATTATATTTTATATATGGATTTATGATAAAAGGGGGGGGGAGGAAATAAATAAATAAATAAAAAAAAGAGAAAAAAGTAAACGTCAAAAAATCTTTATTAAATGTAATTACCGAAGAGTATTCATTATACCAATGTGTTTATCGTGAACTCACGGAGTATCATCAGATACAGATATATCATTGGACGAATAGCAGGAGAAATAATAGGAAAGGATTGTAAAGCGGAACCGAAGTAGAATTAGCCTAACGAGAAAACGGATTTACATAGGCAAAAGCGAAATGGGAAAGAGAGAATGAGAGAGAAAATCGATCTTATTGAGATTCTCTCTTCCATCTCTCTTTATCATTCTCTATCTCTCCTTCTCTCTTTATCATTCTCTCTCTCTCCCTCTCTCTCTCTCTCTCTCTCTCTCTCTTCATATATGTATATATATATAACCCACCCTGTTTTAATTTCATTATTTGCAAGTGTTATATTCGAAAAACCGATCTGTGACGATGTGTCAAAGCAAAATCACCGAGAGAGAAATATCCATTACCGGTGCGTATTACACCATTTTCCGGTAACGCGAGACTAGTGTTTTTCACGTTAATTAAATTAACGCTTTTCCTACCATTTTCAGACACATTCGTATCTAATTCTATCTGATATATATATATATATATATATATATATATATATATATATATATATTTAGTTACACGGATAGCTTCAATATTCGTTTGAACTCAAAACCATTATAATCATAGAAACGTTGATGGGCAATGACGATAATAATAATAAAAATAATAATAATAATAATAATAATAATAATTATTATTATCACACTCACAATCACAATCGTAATAATAATAACAATAATAACGATAGCCGGCAGTACTAATAATGGTAATAACGACGAGAAGTTTACGCGAGAGACGAATTTATCTCGTATAATTTATCATAGCTAATTGGGAATGCCACAACGAGCACGGACGTGTTCCGTCCTATCGTTAACGGACGTCCACCGTCTCTCTCCCTGTCCATTTGGGTGCTTCAAGCGTATATCATGTTAATTAAATAACAAGCAGGTACGTAGTAGCGGAAGTTCGACCTAAAATCGATCGATAATTCAACAGCTTCTCGATTTTGTCACTTGCCTTTTGTCGCGAGAATTTAATCCCATCTCCGTTTTGGTTAATAGTTATTTCAATATTCTTTCTGTCGGCTATGGAGTAATTAAATTGGGGAGGAGAAGAAAAAAAAGAAGAAAGAAAGAAAAAAAGAAAATAAAATAAACAAAAGAAAAAAAATACAAAAAGAATTCAATCCTCCTTTCTCTCTTCTTGGTGCTCCTCGTACCTTAATAAATAACTTTGTACTTCTATTCATGCGTGTATTCTATATATAAATGAATGAAATTTTTCGATAGACCGATAAATGGAATATTTTCATTCATCCCTTTGCAAAATACTTTTCCACGAATGCAATATTTTTCTATAATTTCAATAATACCCGATTTATTTGTGATTATATTAAAAGAACATTTTTTTATCATAAAAGATCCGATTATTATTTTCTCAATTATTTTATTTTTCAATAGTATATGTATATATATATATATATATATATATATATATATTTTTTTTTTTTTCAATAATATATACATAGATAGAATTTTTAATTAAGCATTATGAATTAATCAAATGGAGAATAAGTTTCATAATGTTCTTTTAGCATTGAAATTCATTCTTCTTACGACGATAAAACGATAAGAAAGAGAAAAAGGGAAAAAGAAAAAAAAAAGAAAGAAACGATAAAGAACAAAGAATCATTCGCGTCATCGTCATCATCGTCGTCATCGTCGTTATAGTCTCACGATATGATCTTACTCGAAGATTTTCCCCGGAGGGCTTGCAATGTAATACCAAAGTCCGATCTCTCTTTATCTTTCGAGTCGAAGCACGTTGCTTCGCGCACGTCAGAAGCAAGAAAGTATCGATTCTCCCGGAGGAGTTCCCGAAGGGTTCCTCTTCCATAACGACGGATTAGGAAATCCATAAATTCATCGAATTCTCCATCGAATACCGGGCCAATCTGTCGAGACTCGGTACCCTCTCGTGTTTTATTACTTTCTCTTTTCTCTCTCTCTCTCTCTCTCTCTCTCTCTCTCTCTCTCTCTCTTATTGATTATTTTACTCTTCTTGGCATTCAAGCCTTTCTTTTGGATCAGTTGCCTTGTATCTCTTTTGCTTTCTTTTATTCTCTCTCTCTCTCGCTCCTTATCGATTCTTTCTGTACGTATCCTTTAATCTTTCAAAGACCAACTCTCTCTCTCTCTCTCTCTCTCTCTCTCTCTCGGTTCTTTTTCTTTATTTATTTATTTATTTATTTATTTATATATTTATTTATTTCTATCTCACTTCTAATAAAGAATGATAAAGAATGATAAATTTAACATTTCGAAATATGTATATTCAAGATGTAAATCAAATGATTTTAATATTAACGAAAAGAATTTATCGTTTTTAAAGTACCATCTATTTCTACTGCTATTACTACAATCACTATTACTACTACTATTACTATTACTACTACTACTACAACTACTACTATTACTATTCTTAGATCTCGTCGTATCATTCGAAAGTAAATTCGTTATATAAAGCTGTTGTCTTTCTACGATGTCGATTGAAGGAAGATGAATTTCGAGTGAGCTGTAATATAAAAGATAACAGGGATAAGATAGAGAGAAAGAAAGAAATACAAAGAGAAAGATACCTTTAGAAAAATAATTACTAAACCATAGAGATCGTTCAATGGGATAACGCGTTCTCACGAGTTAATAAACGAAAGTTTCTATATTTACGGAATTTCTACAATGGAATCCAGAGAATCGAATAACGCGTTATTATTACTGTTGTTGTTATTGTTGTTATTAGTATTATTATTATTATTATTATTATTATTATTATTATTATTATTATTATTATTATTATTATTATTATTATTATTATTATTATTATTATTATTATTATTATTATTATCGTTATTGTTATTGTTATTATTCACTTTATCTCAATGCTTGTTAAGGATATATTCGAATATCGATAGAATAAATTAGACATTAAAACTGTTGATCGATCGATCGGCAAGGCGAGAGAGAAAGAGAGAGAGAGACAGATATTCTCGAAATATCGACATTTATATTGAATAAAATGGGAAAGAAATGTTGGAATAGTTGGCAAACCGGTTTCTCATTCTTTTCGCCATAACGAAAAGCAAAATGAACAAAAAAAAAAAAAAAAAAGAAAAAAGAAAAAAAAAGAGAAAAAAGAAGAAGAAAGGGAGAAAAAAGAATGATAGAAAGTAAGTAAGTAAGTAAGTAAGTAAGTTAATAAGATATAAAGAAAGAAAGGAAAAAACAAGAGAAAAGGAGAGAACGAAATAAGAAATGACAGATGATCTGTAAGGAGATCAATATTTCAGTGGGATATAATAAACTCGATATCGAGAGTAACATCTCGGATTAAATCGATCGTTCTCTCTCTCTCTCTCTCTCTCTCTCTCTATCTCTCTCTCTCTCTCTCTCTATCTCTCTCTCTCTCTCTTTCTTTCTCTCTCTCTCTCTCTCTCTCTCTCTCTCTCTCTCTCTCTCTCTCTCTCTCTCCTATTTTTCACTCATATTTCAGAACAGCATAATTTATCGATACTGTCGTTCGTTACTTCTGTTACATGATCTCGATCATTAGTTACGTATAAGCGTATAATTACGTATTCGCGCGTACGACGTTTATTGCCGGAGATTAACCTGTTAGCCCCACGTAGAATTATTAATGCACCAACCGTTATAAAGCAGAAATGCAAATCAACGATCAAGCCAATAAGTTGTCATCGTCGTTGTCATCGTCGTTGTCATCGTCGTTGTCATCGTCGTTGTCATCGTCGTTGTCATCGTCGTTACATCATCGTTGTCATCATCGTCGTTGTCGTCGTTGTTGTTATTGTCATTGACGTTGTTGTTGTTGTTGTTGTTGTTGTTGTTGTTGTTGTTGTTGTTGTCCTACCAATACATGCCTCGACTTTTTTTTAATTAATCATGCGTGACGAACTCGTGTTCTCTCTCTACTCACTACGTACACGTCTCCATACACGTATCTTTTTCTTTAACCATAGTTGTCTCTTGAACCTTCATCGATCGTATAAAAAGCATTCAAAGTCTATCGCCGTGAGTCGTTTACTCGACAAGAGACGACGGGTTATATACGAGGAAGAATTAAGCGCACGTTTTCTCTCCTTAGACTCTTGTATACCAAAAAAAGAAGAAACAATATATATAAGAGAGAGAAAAGAACCATTCTTTTTTCGTATGTACGAAACACTGCCGTTACACGCACGTGTGTGGTCCAGAATCGTCGTCGTCAAGCAAAGAGAAATAAAGAGAAAACGAGTGTAGTCCTTGACGTTTCGAAAGCTCATACATATTTTCTTTTTTCCTTTTTTGACCTCTACCCCCCCAACCCCCACTTTTTTCTTTCTTCTTTTTTTCTTTTTTTTTTTCCCTTCCTTTTTCTCTTTTTTCCTTTACGTTCCCCTTTGAACTGAAAATAAAG